AACATATTTTTCTTAAATATATACATGCATGTGTGTGTATTTATTTATACATAATAAATATACACAGTATACACATTATGTAAACAAACTTTTTTGAAAGCGATTAATTGTTTGACAGCACTATTTAATTTATATATAATTAATTTTTAACTGTAAAATAGCATATTTAAGAATTATATATTTTTCTTTACATTAAAACTAAAATTAATATTATTTCAATTAATAATATTAATACTATTATAGTTTTTCTTAATAGTTTCAATTAGATTGTTTCACTGTTTTCTCTTTAATTTTAGTTAGTTTTCGTAATTGTTGATTTTGTCTTTTTTTTTTATATAATAGTAGTTAATGTTTAGTTATTAGTTCTTAGAGCTCAACAAAACTAAATGCTGCATTTGCAAGTAGCTGAATTTAGTTATTTTTTTGTTTGTTGGCAATGATTTTAAGTAACAAAAATGTTTTATTTTGGGTTAGCAGTAGCAAACCTGGTTTGGCATGTTGCGTTTCTAAATGCATGAAAAGCAGCGTGTCTCCTGTGAACCGCAGGTGAGGCGTGCACCATCGTCCTGCGCGGGGCGACGCAGCAGATCCTGGACGAGGCCGAGCGCTCGCTGCACGACGCTCTGTGTGTGCTGGCGCAGACCGTCAAAGAGACGCGCACCGTGTTCGGCGGAGGTGAGGACTCAAACTCATGCGCGTGTCTGTGTCCGTGTTCATTTCACTGACCATAATCTACGTCAACAACAGAAGAAAACAAGATGAGACGATAATGAAATAAAAACTCTTTTTGAATGACAATCTATTGACATTTTTGGTCAACATATATACACTATTTTTCCTATTTAATTCTGTAAAGCTGCTTTGACACGATCTGCATTGTTAAAAGCGCTACATAAATAAAGCTGAACGAATGAAAATGAGAACGCGATCCAGTAACAACCAATCTCCTGCACACACTTCATCTATAACGGCTTATGATATTTAGTCATCTAAAACTAGACTCAGACTAAAACAGTTCAGGTGACTAAAAGTAAATGGTGTTTTACTCCAAAGACTGACTTGAATCAAAGCTTGCTGTCAGAATTAACTCTGGTGTGTGTTTCAGGCTGCTCTGAGATGCTGATGGCTAAAGCCGTGTCCGATCTGGCCAACTGCACGCCAGGAAAAGAGGCTGTGGCCATGGAGTCCTTCGCTAAAGCCCTGAGGATGGTACGTCACACACACCCATCCGTCCACTGACACTGTGGACATTGAGACATCATTGCCCCTTCCCTAAGTTGATTTCCAGGGGCACTTTTATCTTTATGAAGGCAGTTGTTTTCTTATTAAATGTGCGTCATCTTTTAGGCATTTGCACTGCAATTGCAATTTCATAATGCATAACTAATTGGAGAAGATATGAACTCACCAATAGGTGTAAGCAGTTAATCATTCATTCAGTTGATTCCTTCAGTGTTTGAAATCACATACTGTCTTGAGTAGGTACTTATTTTGAATGAGTAATTATCTTCACAGCTACTAAAAACGATGTTAGTAAAGTTATAGTAAAGTGTCCATCATGCCAGATGTGGTAGGTAGGGCCCTATGAAATCAGTTTTATTTTTTCCCAAATTCCGGTTTTTCCGTTTTAATTTTTCTGGATTCCGTTTCTATGTTTTACTGTTACCAAATTCTGTGTTTTAGCATGTCTAATTACTTAAATGCATAAAAACAACTTATTTTATAAGGCTATTTTAAGAATAAATTTCGATAAAATGTTTTTTTTTTTTCCCTCAGAAATTGTGTATTTAATTTTTTCTGGTTATCAAATGAAGACATAAAACAATTTTTTTAATCTTTTAATTTTTTCAGTTAAATTTTTTGGCAAACAAAAGGAATTTACTATTAAAATTAAAACATGAAAGAAATGTGATTATTCCTTACAAAATAAAGTTTTTATCATTTTAAAGTAGTAGTAGTACGTACATTCTACTGAACAATTGTAATGTATTTCTGGCACAATGTCTTCAATTTAAACCGAACTTTTATTTTGACGGGTTGCTGTGAATACCTTTAAATTTCTGTGTGTATTTGATATGACGCTAGTTTTATAACGGTCAAATGACTCTCAGAGCAGTTCTGGAGATGTTGTTCATGTATTTATGTCCATTTAGAGAGACGGCAGACGCTAATATCACCACATAAGCACCGCACGCTTCAGTACGAATAGTAAACAAAACCGGGGGACTTTTTGCCTACTCTTTTATGACTACTGTGAATTCCCTGTGAATAACCTCTTTCACCTACTATATACTGTGGCGGTTTCAGACGCAGCCACAGTTCTTACTGAGTGAGTCATTGAATTGTTCATTGAACCAGTTCATTCAAAACAGCCGATTTATTTAGGAAAGAACCAAGTGACAGTCTTCATGAACGAGTCATTGAATTATTCACTCAACCAGTTCATTCAGAAAGCAGATTGAGCGAGGAATGCAGCAAGTGACAGTCTTCCAAACGTGTCGTTGACTTGTTCACTCAACCAATTTGTTCAAAATGTGTGTTTTTCAGTAACAAAACACCACTTTGTTGCTTGGTTCTGCTCGTTCAGAGCTATTTTCAATCAAAAAAGAGCAAAAATTTACAGTTTTGTCCATTTTAAGTTACTTAAAAAACACCTTGTTTAACTGTTGTTTAAAATGATCACATTAAGCAATTGTGCTGATATTTGGAAAAAATTCAACTTTTGCTTATGCATATATCATGCGACATAGATGTAAGACAAAAAACAGAATAGATCAAATATACCTGATGCAGGGCTGTTTTGCTGCCGTATCTTGAGTGTTGGTGGAAGTTTAGCCCATGTGTTTTTGAGTGAATACGGATTGATGCAGGTCTCATTATCGGTCCTGTAATTGCACTATATGAGCATCAGAGACCAGCCTCAGGAGTCTGTCTTAAAGACGCAGGGCTGTTTGTGTTGCAGCTGCCCATCATCATCGCTGATAACGCGGGATACGACAGCGCCGAGCTGGTGTCTCAGCTGAGAGCCGCTCACCAGGACAACAAGAGCACCTTCGGCCTGGGTAAGACACACTCACACCAGTGAGTCACATCAGCCCTCTGTGTCTCTGACCTCTGACCCCTGCGCTTTCAGACATGAGCCAGGGCGCGGTGGGAGACATGGCAGCACTGGGCATCACCGAGAGCTTCCAGGTGAAGCGGCAGGTGCTGCTGAGTGCAGCCGAGGCGGCTGAGATGATCCTGCGCGTCGACAACATCATCAAAGCCGCTCCCAGGTGACTCTTCACTTCACCAGTCTTCCCTGTGGCGTTGTTGCGTGTTTTTAACGAGTGTGTGTGTTTGTTGTCGTGTGTTTCAGGAAGCGTGTGCCGGATCATCACCCCTGCTGAACACCCAGAGCGGCTCGTGTATTTATTTAGTTTCATAGCTTCATGTGTGGTCGCACCTCCCAAGCGTCGCTTGTGTCTGAATGTTACAGCTCTACACGATGACCTCTGATCTTTTGTTTACTCAATAAAACCGTCATGACTGACTGTTGAGTGTGTTTCTCTGATGCGACACTGATTGGACCGTTTTAGTATTAGTTTTCTCAATGTTATGAAACGTTTGTCAGTTAGTTCGTTTTTCTTTTTGATTAGAAATAGTTCAAATGAGTGTTTTGTGGGCAGGCATGAAAATAATATGCTGCTTGTAGTTGCTTTGGATGAAAACAAGGCAGCAGGACAATATGTGAATCTGTGCATGACAGTCGTAGAGGAAGAAGCCTGTAATAAAGACTGAATCTGAGACGCCAAATGATCTCAGGAAAAAACACATTTTATTAGTATTGTCAGTGTCTTGTTTCCCAGTACAAATATCTACATATCTATATATTGATCTTGCAAGAAAAATAGCTTAAGATATTGGCTCTCGTTTAAAATGCATCAAAATAAGTTGAGTTTTCATTTCAAACAAATGACTAATATTTCAGCAGAGCTATTTTCACTTGTGCACATGTGTCGTGAGATCTGCTATCTTAATCTCGTGTCTGTTTGCTGAATGTTAAATCAACACCTGACCTGGTCAAAGTGACCCGAAAGCGCTCTGAATTCAGCAGTCAAAGCTGTGCGTGTGTTTGCTCGTGTCACTCTTGACCTGAGACGGCAGCATGAGGACGAGTCTGGTCCTGCTGGCGTGTGTGGGCTTTGTTCAGAGTCTGGGGAGGTAAGCTTCATCTCCATGCTCTTTGCTTTGTTTAGTGACAACTGGCTGACTTAACTTCCCGATTTATTACACTAAGCTATAACAAATGCCCATGAAATATCAATTTATGTGATTTGCTTTTTTTAATGTGAGAAGGAGTAACATGAAACTGAATTAAATATAAAAATGGACATTTTTTTTTTAACAATGCAATGTCTGTCTTGACATTCCTCTGTAATGGACTGTTAAATTTACTGGTGATGTCTGAGCCAAAATTGTTTCCACACTATTTTCTTTCAGTGTGTGCAAGACACCCAGCACTTACACCGTTTAAAGACACAACTATTAGACGACACAGACTGCAGAAAATAACTCATTTATTAGTACAAACATCTAAACATTCTTAAATCAATATGAAATGACATACGAAGCAACATTATTTGAGATATAACGTTTAAAATGTATCAAAATGAAGGGAGTCAGAAAATCTTAATTTGGAGGGAAAACTTACTTTTCTGACCCTATTGGCTTATATATTTTTTCTTAAGCAAAAGCTCACTTTGTTTTTATTCAGTAGACTAAACTTAGTAATTTCACATCTCGACTAAATGTATCTTGATTTAAGAGTGTTTGGAAAACAAAAACATTTAGGTCGATCATCATAATTTGGGGTTCAGAATGAGCAGTCATTCTCAATATAAGACTAAAATGGCAAAGATCATCATCTCTTTTGCTCTGAGCACAGTGAGAGTATCCAGGCAGGCTTCTAATATAAACATATTTTCCCATCAGGGTACCGTTAGTTTAGAGACTGGTAAAGTCTCGTTTGTCTTCATGCACTTGGATTCCCTTTTAATAACGGTTCTCTTGACATTGCATCAGATTAGCTGACACTGACTGAAACCCGAACGGTGTGAGTACACACACAAGTGGCATCTCAGCAGAGAAGCAGAAAAAGAGAAGCCTACTTTTTGCTGTTTCAAAGATCCCAGCAGCTGAGACTGACCTCTCTTTGTGGTTATCTGGCAAGTAAACTCATGACTGAAAAGGCAGATTTCAGTGCTGTTAAATGCACTATCACACACGTAGCCATGCGATATGGCTGTATATCAGCATGCTATGATTACCTATTGCCTATCTATCTATATATATAATAACATTTTGTTAACATAAAATGTCTCATTCTTTTTCAATACAATTCTGTATATATGGTGTTTTATTCTACGCTATAGTTATTTATTTATACTAGGGATGGGAATCTTTTGGTACCTCATGATTCAATTCATATCAATTCTTGGGGTCACGGTAGACAGTTAGGACTTGTAGAAAAAAAATCCCACTCCATCAAAACCTTGAAATTAATTTTGTTTTTCTTGCAATTTAGTAAACTCATTATTATCAAACAAATGCCATTTAAACTGACTGCAGCCATTAAACATGAGAGTCTTATTGGCAAGGCAGCCCTGAGACATGAAGAGCAAAGTTGGCACACCACAGCGCCAAAAGTAGAAAAATATTTATTTATGTTCTCACCACAGGCAGCCCTGAGACAAATATGCACAAATAAAATTCCTTAATAAAAGAATAAAAAAATCTTTGCAAAGAAAAATATTAATGATAATAAAGTGGTAAATGCTTTTCACATATCTTTTCTGCACATTCAAATTAACAAACAAAATCAAATGAGCTGCTATATTTAGACACAAATGCTATTTTAAAGCAATAAGCCCCGTGAAGCCATGGTTTACAGTGAATTTATAACAGCTAAGGGGGTTTTAGGCATTCTTCATTTAAGAAAAGTAACCGTTAAATTGCAAAGTAAAAAAGAAATGAGAGTATTTTACACCTCATAAGGAATAACAGTCAATTTTATTATGGTTACCTTTCTTAAATAAGACATCCTTAATGACGTATGCAGCCTTCAAATGTGACCTCCAGAGGACGCAGCCTCCGAAATGAGACGCAGCTAACGTAGTTCCTCAGAAACAGTTGTGGTTGCAACAAAGTGGTTGCCGAGCAACACACTGACGCAAAGAGGTGTATGTTTGTAGAGTAATTTACAACAACTTCGAACACGGCTCAACCAATCAGAATCAAGGACCGGAA